CGCGCGTGTGGCATGACATTGTCATTTGTTTAAGCTTTATTAATGGTTTTTCCATTTTTGCCACAAGTTCGTGGCATGGTGCGAAATATGGCGTGGCGCCCCGGCACTCGCCTCCGCCTATTGCACCGGAAAAGTAGGCAACACTTTTTGTTCCTCTCTAATTAGTGCTTGTTTACGAGGACCGCCATAGCCGGCCGGCAGGGGGCGCTTTTTGAGAACTCTTGACAGCCGGCGCCTTCAAGTATGCAGCAAGTTTTGCAAAATACGATTTGCATATTAAAACCGGCAAAGGATGGCGATGGCAAGGACGTGGGGGCGTGGCTTGGAGTGAAAGAGAGAGCCGCATATTGTATGTATATAAAATGTTAGAGCAGTGAGGCATACTCATTGAAATTGAACGGAAATTTTGCGCCCAAGTTGAGCGAAAGTTTAACAACTTTTCCTTTTTTTTTTTTTTTTGCATTTTTGTTGTTTATTTTTCCTGCTCATGCTTATGGATTTTTTTTTCTAGCCACTTGGCTTTTATTCCGTATTGCCTGTTGTCTTTGTTGTTGTTGCTTAGCTTCGTTTTCTATTTGCAGATTATATTTGTGCCTCCCGCTCTGCTTGTATTTTGTTTACACGCTCGCTTTGCTTTGCCTCTCAGTGCTTTTGCTTTGCTTTCCGTTGCTGTGCTTTGCTTTGACTTGCCCGTGGAACAATGAATGTCACTTTGGTCTAGACCCCAGACATTCTGCCCACCGCCCCCCCTGGCAATCCGGTGCGGTTTGGTTATGGATTTTGAATGGTTCTTTGCCTCAAAATGGGTGAGGGGTGCCAACAAAGTATGGAATTCAAAATACCCTAAAATGTTCTATAACTTGTTTATTTTATGTAAAATATTCAAAAATGTTACTGATCCCACATTGCGTATGAGTAATAATTATTGAAACAATCCTAAAATTCGTTTTAATGGCTTGCATTGTTCTTAAAATGTTTTGTTTCCATCAAAATATTATACAAATAATAAAATTAACTAGACAATAATAACATACAACACTGCGTATACGTAATTTTTTATTCATATTACTCATACGCCCAGTCAGCCCATTATTTTTTTTCATTTTTTTGGAAAAAGACCTATAAATTCATTTATTGCAGTAAAAAAATATATAAATATAATATTTCTTCTTTCGAAGATAACCCCACAACCCCTTTTCGTGCTGGGTATCCTCAAATTCTTTAGAAAAGGATTCCTTTCGATATTTATTTTGTATTTATTTGCGACTGATATTTGAGCGAACCTGTTGCTGCGCGGCAGAGTAAATGGCCTCAAATATTTTCGTGTATAACTTTTGTTTGTAAAGAGGTCGTGGGTCAGGGCTGTGGGGCATGCACTACCCAGACACAAACATACATGTGTGTGTACTGTGACCTGGCCTGAGGTCACACGTGAAAGGGGGGGTAAGCCTATAAGTTTATAAAGTTGCGGATGGACGCACGTGTCGTTGTTTTTTGCTTTTGTTATTTTGTTTTTTTTTGCCAATACTTTTTGTTGTAGTTGACCTTTTGTTGCTGACCTGTCACTTACCCCCTTTGGTTGATTCTTTTGTTTCGTATATCCTTGTTAGTGTTGTTGTTATTGTTGTCGCGACAAAAAGGATTTAATTTTTACTGGACATTTGACTTGTTTGCCACTTTTCAAAGGAAAAGCTCTTTGTCGCTCCCTTGTCGCTGCGTGTCCTCGATATCGGGATTTATCGCATTACGCATACCCATACGCATACGCACAGTGGGGCATTCGGATCAATTTCCTTTCCCATTACAATTACATTTCCCTTCCCTGCCTCACCTCTAACAGCTTATAGCCGTGTTTATGGTCATTTTACATAGCCAAAGCGTTAATTAAGCCCGGTCGTTGAATTGTCAAACCAAATTGTTGCTCTGGCTTGCTCCTTTTGGCCAACTCCAAGTGTGTCCTTTAGAGTGTGTGTGTGTGTTTCTGTGTGTTTGTTTGTATTTGTTTGTGTATGGCAATCGATTATTCATCCAAAATGCAAATGGACAAATCACTAGCTTCTCCTAAAATGCCAATTAGGTCTTGTAATTACACTTTGGTAAACAACTCTTTGAAATCATCGAGTACAGATTGTAGATAGCATTTCTAAAATTTGATTAAATTATAAAAAAAAATGTTATTCTTATGGTATTATTTTTGTTTTATTTTTGAAATCTTTTGTTTTCTTATTTTTATCAGAAAGTTAATATATTTCTGCTAAGCTATGGTTGAAACAGGCAACAAGAGGCTGTTTAGTTGAAAATTTATAGAAATAATCCAACACCCCCTAACAGCTCTAAGCTATTCTCTTTTTGTATATAATATATATTGTATATTTTTTTTGTTATCCTTTTGTTTCCTTGGCACTCTTTTATAGTTGAATGAAATCCCTGAAATTCCTTGCCAATTTTATAAACAACAATGAACAGGCAAGTGTCAGCGGCCAATAATGTGGAGTGTGGAGATGCTGTTGCAGGATGCTCTGTTATCCTGCTATATAGGAGGTAGACTATTGGCCTGCTGGTAGTGGGCGTGGCTGTTCACATTCCGTTTTTCTGCATTATTCTGCTTGTTAAACAGTTGACGGTGGCCTTTGACTTTCAACGATGGGCAAAACAACGCCAAACTACCAAATACAACAGCTGAAAAATACAACAACAACAAAAAAATGGTAGAAAAAAAAAAATAATGGCTTGACTTTCAATTGCACAATGACAACAACAACAATATCTGCAAAAGGAACAACAAAAGCTGAAGCAGAAGCAGCAGGACGAGCAACCAACAGCAATCAACAAACAACACAGGCAACGCCGCCAACAATAAAAGGAAGAAACCAGTGACGGCGAAAGCCAAAGAGGGGCAACGGATGAGGTCCTGTGGCACGGGGGACATCAAAATCAATTCAAGTACGGAAACTGCTGCAGTTGTACAGTTGAACGGCCTGGACAGAGGCAGAAAAGCCAAAGCGGCGCGGTCGGTGGTAGACGAGAGGCAAGGGAAAGGCTCAATAGTACAGAGAAATGCACTGAGAAAAATTCAAAAGACATGCAAATACCCACAAGAAATAGATAATTACCTAAACTACATAATTTTTAAGTCATAAAAATACAAATAATATTTTGTATGTCCTTTATAAATATAAAAGATTAACTATTTCTTGATAGAACATTTCTAAAAATTCTATTTATAATTATGTAATATTTTTCTTTCAGTGTTTTGAAGTTATTCACGGAAAGGATTCCCATTGTTTTAACTGTTTTTGTTGTGGATTGTTGTTATTGCTCAGCAGGCTCTGCAGAATATGCATCGATATAAATGAATTGGTGGAGCTCAAAAAAGGATGCCAAAAGGATGCACACGCACACATACGCGTTACTCACATGACAGAGAAAGAGAAATATAGAGAGAGAGAGAGAGAGAGACCGCAGAATACATGAAATCAACTTTTGCGACTCAAATTTGAATTTAGATTGAATGCAGATGACACTATTTTTGCTGACGACAAGTGCATGGATAGATTAAAGATCAATATCGAGTAAAGATCAATCAATCAAATATGCACTCACAGTTTCCATTTCTAATTGTTTCAAAAAGAAACAATTTAGTATTGTAAAGACTGAAAGCTTAATTAGTGTTGAACAAAAAAAATTATTTCAAAATAACACTGAAAAATAGTACTGTAAAGTGGTATTAGTATAAAATAATATTTCAAAATAACATCTTTTTAAAACCTATGCCTTTTTGTTTCATTTATAGCATTTAGATGTCTAGAACATTTTTGTTTCCATTTAATATCTCAATCAGGAATAATCTTTAAGCGATTTGGTAGATCGTTGTCATTGTAATTCCACATTTACTGGTCAATACGGGCCAGTTACTTTTCCCCTACAAAATGGCCAAAATGAGATGAACTCATTCCCGAACCCGATCAGGTTTTCGGTCCCAAAAGGAAATCAATTCAAATTAGATGAAAATTATAGTTGAAATTGCTCGAGAGCCAAAGCCATCCTTCCATTTCTACCATTTCTACCATTTCTCCACCATTCATTCATTCGTTCATTCACTCATTCAGCCATCCTGTCCAATCTGATTAACACTTTCGAGCCAGGGGCAGATAAAGAAATCGATTTGCCAACACCCACGTAATCAGGGTAGCCGGAATGTGAATCGGAATCGAATCGGAACCGAAATAGAAGAACGGGGAGAGCGGAAGTGGAGAAGTGGACTGGGACGCCGAAGAGTGGTGGATGAGGACGTACTGACCACCAGTTGCCCATTTGGTGGCCACGAACTGATTACAGTCTAATAAGTATGCGTGGGGCATGACCGAGGTCCCTTTGTTAATAGGTCTCCAAAGGGTCACTCTCACACACACACACGCAGTCAGGCAGGCAGTCATAAAAAAAAAGGAGGAAGGGCAAGAAATTGAAGGCTCCTCTCCTCTCCACCCAAGCGTAGAGACTGAAATCCAAAAAAAAGGACAGCGAGAAAGAGCAACAAAATCGAGAAAAGAATTCAAATTAAAGACCACAAAGTTTAAACTTAACCGTTCAAAAGTTACCCATCAAATATGGCGATTAGTGATGCCCATTAAAAGTAAAAATATCGATAAATACTACTTAGACATCCCTAATTAAAAATGGACTATCACTGTGAATGGTAGTCCACGAGGTGTCTAACTGCATGCCAAGGAAGCTACTGTATATAGCGGAATTGAAAATTAGAAATATAACTAGAAGATAGGCTAGTTGGAAAGGAGGTTAGACATGTTTACTTAAAGACTTCCCAAAGAAGAGGAAAAATGTTGCTATAGATTGAAAAAAAAAGAATTTTGTATACAAAATATTTAATAATCTATAATAAGAACTAAAAGAAACCATATGAAAACGTACTTATTTTACTTAAACCTTATTTAAACAAAAATATCTTTCAGTTAAAATAAAACAAAAAAAAAGTAAAATGATGGATACGCCGGGATTTGAACCCGGGACCTCTCGCATGCGAAGCGAGCGCTCTACCCCTGAGCTACGTCTCCATCGAAAAACAATAAAAATATAAATAATAAGTATATAATAAAAGTAATAACATTCAGTAAATAATTAAAATTTAAAGAAAAATTTCTGGTATTAAGAGTATGAACCAATTCCTTATACTCTTCCATGTTTGTTAAAGAATAAGGATTGCCAGCCTGGCATTTTGATTTTGATGTGTTCATTTGCACTGGTCCGTGTGAGTTTGGACGCCCCTTATGGTGGCTCCCCACCACTGAAGATAAATTAAATTTAAACTGATAATAAAAAAAAAGGAGGAAATTTACGAGCCAATAAGACGGGGAGTTGGCCTTGAGATTTTCCCTCCCAAAGACGAAAAGTGGAAAACCCTTCGCCACACCGCACACAAATAAATAATAACAAAAGGATCCAGGATAACAGCAGCACCGACAACAACTACAACAACAACAACTGACGGCAAAGGAGCAGCAATAGCGGCGAAAAAGCAACTCCAAGTCATTCCTGACACAAAGGACGAAGGAGGGATGCTGAAGGAGCGGAGGCGAGCAAGGGGAGCAAGACCGAGATAAGGACAAGACAAGTGCAGTGCGAGATAAACTTAACAAACGAAGTCAACAGCAACCAGAGGGCGGAGGGCGGAGGGCGGAGGACAAGGCGGAGGTCCTGGGATTGCCCACAATAAGAAGAACAAGAACAATGGCATTGACAATGTTTAGCACATGAGCGAGGTCCTGCAAAAAGGATAAGAGTGAGAGAGAGACTGAGTCAGAGGGAGGCGAAGGCCAGGTCGTGGGTTACAGCTTTAGCCATAACAACAGATTCCAACTGCTTAGTGGATACTTATCCTTACCCACACATACACATACATATATATGGTATATCCCACTGATTCCGACAAACAATCAAAGGTTAAGGTATATTACGTATATGTATTACGTATTACGTATACGCAATGTTTGCTCAACGAGAAACTCTGAAGAGAATGGAGAGATTAGAAAGCGCACAAAGCACTAACTTCAATTTAAGCTTTTGTCAGCGGAAGCATAGAAAAGAGAATACAAGATAAACAGCCAACGGAAAGGGGATTTCGAATTTGTATTGGTATTGGTATTGGTATTGGTTTGGCAGTAGTGCACTTGGCCAACTTATCCTTAACTTGGCCAAATGGAATTAAATTCCTTCAACAACCAGAAACAATACCCTTGAGGATTCCCTAATTGATTCGAATTGATCCGCTAATTAATTTGAATTATTTGCTTTCTACTTTTATTTTAGCTTCTTTGGGATTTAAACGATTTGGTGTTTTAGATAGATAAAGGCACTAAACCTCGATAATTTAATAGCAATATTTAGTCACGAGTCACTACTTTATAAAATATTAGATAATTATTAAGAGTGTTGGAAAATAAAATATAAGATTGCCACCCCAGGCAGCCAGAGCTGTCGCATTTGAAGGAGTTGGCACTCCTTGAGGAGAACTGTCATAGATCTGTCAAACTTCTGTCACTTCTGTGAAAACTGCAACTCATTAAAGGAAAATTTTTTCTTCAATTCAGCAATTTAACGCTTTTGACTATGAACAACTGGAACAACTGGAACAATACCCAAGGAGCAACCCCAGAACGTCGTGCTCAAATTCGTTATCTTCAAAGAATCGAAAACCTATTTAACGAATTGGGCCTGATGCCGGATCCAGAAGATTGGGAAATACTTTGCGACATTGCCTACGGTTAGTAATAAAAGTTAAAACAGAAGAAAAAACCTAAGTAAGTTAATGAAACAAAATATTCTCCTTATTCGCGATGTTCCAGGCATGGATCCAAATACTCCACCTGATGACTTTTATTTGGATTATACCGGCAATGACATTTATTTCTATGTTTTGGGTGTGTGCATTCGCTTGCATCCGAATCTTTGGGCTCCGGCTCCGTCCGCTTGAACTGGATAAATCATTGGCCGGCCCTTGAGATCCGAGGAAGACTTTGCTGGTGTTTCGATGGACGTCGTCAATAATTCCGAAGATAACATGGAAACCTTCAAACAACATCAACATATACGAATAATTCAATAAATACAATGCTCATCATCAAACATTAATTCTAAAGAATTTTGTTTAATAAATTGAAGCTTTTCCTTAAAACCAAAAATAATACATGTATACATTTATCTTATATGATACATCTCAATAATACTTAAAACCTGATCCTGATGGACTTTCGCGGAAGCCCCATTAATTGTAACGATTTTCTGGCCTTACTGCTGGCCTGCGATATTAAATATTAATTACTGGTTATATTTTATACATTCCTTTCACTGCTTTTGCAGATTATTTCACCTTTTAAATATGTTTTTAATTTACATGAATTTCTTGTGAAATTATTACACCTACCTGTGCGATCTGTATCATTTTATTAATATATATATTTTTTTTTCTGGCATTTTTCGTATCAATAAGTTCAGAGGTTTCTTCTGGTTGTTTCTCTAGGGCCACGAAAAGTACGCTAAATGATTTCATTTAACCAGCAAATGACACCCGGCACTCACACACATTCAGACACACACACACACGCATACAAGCACAACAGATGCCAGGGAATATACGAATGTAATTGCAGCAAATGAATAAATGAGGCAAGAGGCAAAAGGCAAAAGGCAGACGGCAGCCACCACGAATCGCTAAGAGATATCCTATATATATATAAACAACAAAAATATGTATGTAAGAGTGTATATGTGAGTGTGTGTGTCTGTGGCAATGCATGTTTTGCCGCTTATTGCCAGCAACAAAAACAACAACAGCAACAAAAAAAACAAAAAGAATTGAGGCAAAGACAGGAGCGACGGCAACAAAAATGAAAATGAGCAAATGTAAGCACACAGGACCTGCTCCCCAGGACTCTGCCCCGAACCTCCAATGCTCTGTCGCCCCTCCCCCTCCCCCTCTCTCTCTCTCTCTCATCCACCAGATCTGCTTCATAAATTCAAATTTGATTTTCATGTTGATTATGATGCGAGAGATGCGCAGATGATGATGGAAATGAAGATGGCAAATGGCAGCCAAGGCCTGGAAAAAGGAGCCGTAGCCACAATCAGGACCTCGCACGCACACATAGAAGGCCTCCTGATTATTGGATGTGTATGTGTTTGTGTTTGTGTGCGTGTGTCTGTTGCTTCTGTTTTGCATTCCACTTGGATTTTTATTTAAGCTTTTCTATCGTCTCGTCGCCTGTTTTTACGTCTGTGTTTACGACTCTGCAGGAAACTTTACTTTCCCCAATTGAACTAGCCTCCTTCGAGATGAGAGCCTTTATGTGTTATATGAGTTCGAGGCCCACAAGTGCCCCATTTTTTCATTTCTATGGCTATGCCACAAAATACAAAATACGTAACCAACGAAGGTTTTATACCCTTGTCGCGAGACAAGGTAGATACCCTTGATCTACTTGAATCCCCGCAAGAATCGGATAAAAATTGGCCAAGATGTAGCCTTCCCAAGGGGTAATACCCCAAAATCCCACTTTTTGCGAGGGTCTCCCCAGGAAAAATATGCAAAAAATTGAAAAAATATTTTACATCCAGATTTTGATGCAGAATTTTGGGAAATCGATATATAAATCGTTTAAGGTATTCCCCGCAAGAATCGGATAAAAATTGGCCAAGATATAGCCCTCCCAAGGGGTCAGACCCCAAAATCCCACTTTTTGCAGGGGTCTCCCCAGGAAAAATATGAAAAAAATTGAAAAAATATTTTACATCCAGATTTTGATGCAGAATTTTGGGAAATCGATATATAAATCGTTTAAGGTATTCCCCGCAAGAATCGGATAAAAATTGGCCAAGATATAGCCCTCCCAAGGGGTCAGACCCCAAAATCCCACTTTTTGCAGGGGTCTCCCCAGGAAAAATATGCAAAAAATTGAAAAAATATTTTACATCCAGATTTTGATGCAGAATTGTGGCAAATCGATATACAAATCGTTTAAGGTATTCCCCGCAAGAATCGGATAAAAATTGGCCAAGATGTAGCCTTCCCAAGGGGTAATACCCCAAAATCCCACTTTTTGCGAGGGTCTCCCCAGGAAAAATATGCAAAAAATTGAAAAAATATTTTACATCCAGATTTTGATGCAGAATTTTGGGAAATCGATATATAAATCGTTTAAGGTATTCCCCGCAAGAATCGGATAAAAATTGGCCAAGATATAGCCCTCCCAAGGGGTCATACCCCAAAATCCCACTTTTGCAGGGGTCTCCCCAGGAAAAATATGAAAAAAATTGAAAAAATATTTTACATCCAGATTTTGATGCAGAATTGTGGCAAATCGATATACAAATCGTTTAAGGTATTCCCCGCAAGAATCGGATAAAAATTGGCCAAGATATAGCCCTCCCAAGGAGTCATACCCCAAAATCCCACTTTTTGCAAGGATCTCCCCAGGAAAATTCGCAGTTATAATTTAAAATCAAAGACTTTATAAGTTATAAGCTAATAAATCCAATCCTTTAGAATTTTAAGATTTCTGGAGTGCATTCGATTCATTATTCATGGCGGCATATGGACTGTAGATATTTCGCAGACGACTGCGTTCTGTTGAAATCTTTTGAATATCTTTGGTGCATATCTACCCATTTAGTGTTGGCTGGAAAATCTCTGAATGCTTTCAGCATTGTGCTGGCAGAATGGCGAAATGGCCAAGACAATCAAACGTGGCTATAAAGTCAACTGACTTTATTACCAGGCCACCCAGCGACGCCGCCACTCAGTTGCATCGTTAGCGCGGTTAATGCCCAAAAGCGATGACATCGATGCATTCCCCATCTCCAAGGATATCTCTGCTCCTTTGCCGGTCCTTTCTGGTTATTTCCTGGTCCTTTGCATCTACCATCACCCATCTACCATCTACCATGTCTCCACCATATCCAACGATTGCCATTTCCAGGCCAATAGCAATACCAATTCCAATCCCGCCTCTGTCGCACTTGGCCGAAAAGACACAAAAACAAAAACCGAATGGCAGGCGAC